TGTTTTAGTTTCGCTGAACAATTATAACGTCTACTGGTCCGCCCCTATATTAATCAAGCATTTGCAAGCACGTTGCAGTATGGGTGTTGACATCTGAGAAGTATAAGTGGATTTATAATGGTCTCTTCGTTGGTCTTATCCAAGCCTACACAACTAAGGAGCTTGTGGTGTTCCAAGCGTTTTCGTCAGTGGTCTAGCTGCAGGTCGGTGACGCGGCGGGCTTCTGAACTTTACGTCTCTAGGTACCCACGCACGCTCCTTATGTGGACTTGAGAAGTGCTGCTGCTTAACATTAAGCTCCTAATTGGGGTCATTGTCAGCCTAGCCGCTATTTTCAGTTAGTTATTGGGACTGTACTGCACGTTCTTTCTATGCTCTCTTAACAGTACCATTGGTGCATGCGACCACTCGATGTGGGCTCCTATTTACCTCTCATACTTCCTGATCTTCTAAGCAAATCTGCTATCTTGTTTCAGATTTCATTTCCCTAGTTTTATTTTGTTTTTTTATTTTTTATCAATCTATGTTTTTTTTTCTTCTCCTCAAGCCCTGTGCTATTATAATTAATTGCTCTCTCAGTTTTTGCGATCTATTATTTGTGGTGGGTGCTCCCCAACTTCTTTGATGACTTGACATTGTAGCAGCGCGCTGTTTAAGCGCAATAAATAAATAAATAACGCAGTACCAAAAAAGAAGCATAAGGTACTGTTAAGGGTTCGATCCCCCGTGGCGACTAAATTTTGCATTTGGGTTGGCGCCTACGGTTGGTGCCAAATCGCGCTAAATATCAAAATCAGATGTCAAATTCATCGTCAGGACCATTTTGAAGCCAACAAGTGGCCGCCAACCTTGATTGCAAAATTTAGTCGCCGCGGGGATTGAACCATCAAGAGTATTATTCACCACTTTTTTGGTACTACTAAAACCGTTCAGCGAAAACGAAACATGGTTTTGTGGTCCATACATGCGTCCCTACAACATGTACTAAACCGTTTCCAAAAAGCGCACCTTGCCCTGAAAGACCTCCCTTGTTAGGCAGAGGCACCTCTGGAGGGAGATCTCAACGGAAGTCGTTCCCTTTACAGTCCCTTAATTGCGAATTATCTTATACCAGCGCCTCATTCAGTAGTGCTTAACAGAGACAAAAAAGCCCAGTCTTTTCGAAAATCGAAGGTCTTCGTAAATACAACAGCATTCCTAGTTTCGTACCATAATCGTCTGGTTTTCAGATTCATTAACTCACTCGTTTGTATCTTGAGTGCGTAAGGATCGCAAACTGCTCTAAAGACGCTAACTCACCGCCTTCACGTTAGAAAGTTGTTCTCCTTGACACATTCACGACGACGGCTTTTTCGCTTGTTTGAGATGGGCGCGATTTTGCATTCGCCTCACCTCGCATCCGTAGATTTTGCTTAATAAACGGAAACACAAATAGCACAAATTAATTTCAGCATTCTACAAGACATTCTGATATGAAAAATGTGCAAAAAAGTATGACAAACGGGTGGTAGGCGATTATTAGCTGGCAGCTCTTATGGACTGCCACCGACGTGGATGTGTTAAGCTTGAGTCGGAATCAGAATCCTCTCTGAACATTCTTTGGCGCGCCTGCCTGAAAATTCTGTAGATCTTTTGCCTCACCGTTATCGTTTTCGGGCAAAAACCAATTGCAGATTTCCCAAACTCATGAGGAGCAAAATCATAGCAATAATTCGAATGCGTAACCTTAGGGGAAAAATGGCTTAAGCCAAAAGTATTCTACAATAACCTTAGGGGAAAATGGCTCAAGCCAAAAGTATTCTACAAAGGAAAATAAAACGGAAAAAGATGGTTGTGGAAATTTTGAGACTGTGGGATGCGACGTAGTGCATGTCGCGCGAGTGCATATCGCGAAACTTACGCATTATCCAACTCGTCAGACACGCTTGAAGCAGGACGAAGCAGGACAGAATTACTTATTGTATCAGGTCAACTTCTCTGAGCGATCAAGGGTTAGGTATTGGTATTCTTTCAAAGTCGGTGAAAATGTAGTTGGGGGGGGGATGATGCTATCTAATCGAAGTGGAATTGCGGAAAGACACTCATATCTTATCAAACATCATCATATCTTTTGCTACGACAGTGGCCTACGACCAGTACATCACATTTCCTACATTTGTCGTATTGTTCTATGGCCAAGATGGCTGCTTACCCTGTTGACGCATCATTTTCGCCAAACCTTCCTTGCGAATCGTCGTGAAGCTCTTCGAAAGCAAGGGCCTTTCAAGGTTATCCGAACTTGTGCGGTATCCCCACTTGGAATCCTCAATTAATCGTACACTCAGAACTGTGCTCTGACAATGGGTGTTGATTAGATATGAGCGCTCTTCCGCAACTCCACTTCTATTAGATATTATGAATGGCCCCCACCAAACTGTATTTTCACCCGAAAGTCTAGCACATTTGATTCAATACACTTGAAGTGTGTGCCACAAGCACGTAAGAATAACACAGAATTAATGGCAAAGTTATTGAGATGATGAAACTAATATATGACATGATGAATGACCTATTCGGGCGCCGGAAGCCGGTTAAAAGGGGGCGCGTAGATTGAATACCTTTGATATTAGGTGACCTCATCAACATACATGCCTTCGAACCTTCACCAGCCGTCAATATATGAAATGTAAGCAAAGGCAGTAATAAAGGCGACACTGAACATAAAAGCCGTGCGCAGTGATTTACTGAGACGACGTAGTTCATTCCTGAGGGCCTTTAAACGATCTATTACAATTGCGTTGCCTTCGGAAATCTTTCATCTTAGTTAAAAGACAGGAGGGAGCTTCAACGAAGAGAGGGAGAGAGAGATCATGGCACATTGTCATTTAGAAAGGAAAATACCGCTTGTTTAGGGTTTGCAAAGCAAAGACAAGTTATGGTTTGTTGAACGCACTGCGTATTGTGGGAATTGTGATTTTTTCAGGATTTCAAACATCACCTCGGCGAAGCCGTTGTTATTGGATCTAACGGTAACGAGATTCATGATGAAGCTGTAGGCGCTAACCAAAGAGGCTTGATCGAAGAAGAAGGTCCTGTCGAATTGGAAAGCGATGTGGATGACAGCGAAACAGATTCCGAAAGTAGCAGTTTGAACAAGGAAGAATCTATTCTCAAAAACACTAAAGAAGTTGTTGACGAAAGTAATGATGTCGAGAAATCGCCTTGCGAAATCAGTCTTATTGAGGAGTCAGAAGAACCCGACCAAGAAACTTCGATGATAACTCCACACTCACCCAGCGTGGGATCTGAACGTTCTGGTGCTTCGTATTATCTTAATGAAATGGAGAAGAAGACTGTCATCCCTAATTTGTCATCTGTTTATGATGATGATATCGTTTTCAAAGGATGCGCTACCGAGCTACCGGAAAGAGCAATGGAAGGTCACGAGACTCTGAATTACAGATGTGATTTTGGGAAAGTGACTTTTGATGGAGAGGAGAATCCGGCAGAGCCTGTTGCGCCTATGACGCCGGTGAAAGAGAGAATGATGATGTTTGAAAAAAGGATTGAGAAGGACGATGATGATTTGCTTTCGCACGAGCCAGCTTTTCCAGAAGAGGAAGCCTCTATGCACGTGAAAGAGCAAGTAGATAAATTTGAGCGCTTGCATGACGAGGACCTGAATGAGTCATTAGGCCAGTTCATTGAAAACGAGCTCATAGAAAATGTCCATGTGATGGAGACTGTACATGATCTCGAAAAATCCGAGCACCACCATGACGAGAACTTGCATGATTCCGCATTGGGTCAATTCCATGAAAACGAGCTCGTAGAAAATGTGCACGTGATGGAAACTGTGCATGATCTAGAGAACTCAGACTTCAACCACAAAGAAGTTTTGAACAAGCCCGCGTTGGACGAGTTTAATGGAAACGAGCTCGTAGAAAACGTCCATGTTATGGAAACTGTTCATGATCTCGAGAAATCCGTTCTGGAGTCGGAGTCAGCGGTTGTTGATCACGAAGTGGAAGCGTTGCCAACGAAGATTCATGTACAGGAGACGGTGCATTATCTTGAGCATGAATACGATCGTTCAATGCCTGTGTGTGATGAATATGTGCAAATTGTTTCTCATCGACAAGATGCTGGAGATGCTTCCGCGGCTGGAATCATTGGTGATGAGGTCGTTTTTTGAATGACTACGTTTTGCTTCGATCTCTACGTTATCGCTTTCTCTTCCAGACTGCTGCGGTGAACGAACAAGAAAGCGCAGAGGTGTTCTGTCATGTGGATTTGTCACGCGCTGGTTTGTTTTTTTGCAGCTGCGGCCTTCTTATTTTTTCCATGTTTTTTTTTTCAAGTTGCGGTTTCCCATTTTTTTCAAAACTTGGGCGCACCATTAAAGCCAGCAAATGTGGAGTTTCTAGTTTGCGCCAGTGATTCAGCAATCAAGAGAAGCCTGTTTTAGACGTGTTGCAAGCGCTTGCAAGAATAATAGCTCAGATAGGACATTTGTTGTCCTGTTTTTGTAGGCAAAACACGACAAAAAAATTCTGAAAAATTCCAGTTCGCTGTTTTGGACATAAAATGTTTCAGAGTTAGGTTCATGGGATTTTAAGAACTTCAATAATTGGGCCATTTTATTCGTGAGATAGTTCAAGCTTTTAGTGCTTATTTCAAAACTCAATAGTCCTCGAATGATTGACTTTTCGTTGATCGCAGTCATCTTTCAGAAGAGGCTACTACTAAGACTGTGACTGTAACTGTTGGTGAAACCGCAGCCGACCGTGATTTGGTGGAGGTGGTTTTACATCTGTTTTGCTTTTTGGCTTACTTTTTTCGCATGTTTTCTATTTTTCCTTTCCTCCCTGTTTAAAGGGTTGTTGCATTTTTTGCACTTCTAATTCCTGACTATTTTACTTTTAAGGAGACTGAACCCTCTAACGCGCAAAGCACCCAGATTGTTGTTGTTGACGTTAATCCTTGCACGGAAAACAAACCTAAATTACGGGTTTGTCTTATGAATTCACTATTTTTTTCATTGTAAATAAAACTAACTGCGGATGCTCTTCTTGCGATCTTACTTTCTGCTACAATTAATTTCTTGTGTGGTTTTAAATAACGGACTTGAAGGAGTATCCTATGAAGTTGGCAAATCAAGATTCAAACAGTGATAGTTTGTTTTTGTTGCGAAATATCGGGGTAGTGTCCAATTTGTAATGTTGTTTTTGTGCGGTTGATTTTTCGGATTGGAGATTCTTATCATTTTGATAAATTTCTTCTACAAATTAGGAGAGCGACACCTGGGAGAAAGAGTTCGTTGTCGCCAGTGGATCGACAGCTTCCGAGATCTCCGAATCGCTTGAGGAGTTGCATGCTTCTGTTGCTCATGAATTTATTCGCGAAGTTGAGGGCGTCGGAATGAATGACAAAGAGGTCAGTTGTATTACTCGAGAAACTTCTTGGCAATTGAAGGCCAGCCTAGCGGATGATGATAATTGACCTGTGGCTGATCACTACATAACAAGCTTGCGTATTCAAGTCGCATGAAGAAAATTGTGATTTCAAACTAGTCAGACTTGTCCTGCGAATTGCGCGCAGCTGTTTGCAGTCGCTTATACATTCTCGCAGTCCTTTCGTGGGCAGTAATCACCATCGATAGAGGGAGGTACGGTTTTGCTGACGTAATTGAACGTCATTGGCTCAAAGGCTATGATGTAGCTCCCCCTCCTCACTCTCTCAAGCACGCTGAGGGGTCTAATCCACCGATGATGTTCAATGGCGTCGCCCTTCTAGCCAAAGTGATCTGCCTGCCTTTAAGAAGGCGTTATCGCGCAAGACTTCAGACCGCGGTCGCACTCGGCGACGGCAGTCTGAAGGTTACCTGAGGCGCTATTATTTATGTATTTTCGGTATGTGGTGTGCTATTCTTTTATTGCTAGGTTTTGGCATGGTAATCAATAATTATTGGAATTGTTCAGTTAAATTCAATGAATTAGCAGGATGAATCTGCCTCGGAGCCGGCCATCATAACTACTGAACAAATTGGAGAACTTGGAACGACCGAAGAACTTCCGTCCATGCCTGTTTCATTCCCCACCGATAACCATTCGGAGGTAAAGAACCACTTCGTATATTTAAGTTCTATTTTTTGCATCTCTGGTTTGCTTTTTTATGCATTTAATTATTTTATGCATATGTGTCTGCATTCAGCGTAAACGTGTGACCAGATCGAAGGGTCAAATGCTTCTTCCGCGTCGCCGCCTTGTGGATTGCTGCTCGATCCTGTGAAATACCCACCATATTTTCCTTATTTTCCTGTAACTGCTGTGGTCTCTGCTTGGCTTTCAAATCAGGTACTGCCTGGTGGTGCCTCCTACGCCGTTGTGCACATTTCTAAAAGGCAGTGTTCACTAAATTCGCTCAGTTTTATTGTTTTTTGTTCACCCTTACGTGGGAGCTTTAACTGTACTGTTAATAACTTTCTACATCAATTATTCACTGTACATAACCAGTTTTTAGTGTAGGCAAACCCATGATTGGCCGATTGCTATGTGAATCCAGATTTTAGACGGAGAAAGATACGGTAGTCGCATGATGGTCTGTCCCATCTTTGGTGCTCAAGTCCAGTTGTTTGTCGTTGATGTAGGTACGCGGCTGTGTGAAGGTTATGTTCTGCGACATTATATGCATATGTCATATCTATATGAGTTTCTTGTTAATGATGAAGTTTTAACCAAAATGTTAGTCTGCATGATTAGGAAAGAACGAATTTGAGGCTGAATCTGACTAAACATCGTGAAACGAGCCTGAACTTAATGAAACGCTGGTATTTCGAACTGCCGATTGAGTGGAAACAAACAGATAACTCACCACTTATATTCATCAGTTGCTTCTAGCGAGCTCATAGAGAAATCGGCAGTTGAAGTTGGATTATCAGGAGCGTTCAGATTCCTTGACGTCAGGCAATTTAGAGCCACGGTTGGGATTAGGGGCCAAGAGTAGTCTCTCCCAGAGTGAGAAAAATCGCGACTCATAAAAGCGAGGCAATGACGCTAAGCCCCTGCCTTTGTGTGCTGCCGTGTTTTCTATATTCTATAGTAATTCTATAGTAATTTTTGCTTTTTCTTCTAACTAAGGTTCCTCATTGCACTTCTTATCTAATTTTCGCACAAACAATATTACCCCCATTCGCGCTCCGACCTGGTGGCCTTTAATCCCACAAGAAGCACACTTCGGGGAAGTAGTACTGAAAGTAGTTAGAAGGGCAAAACTTGGGTAAAAACTAGTCGAAAAAATGACGGTGACGGAGAAAGAGATGAGAAAATAGGCATGGTAGCACTACGTGTAAGAAATATTGCCGCGAGATTGTAATCGACCACCTGGAGCAGCATATTTTCGGAAATAAGGATGTGGCAACTTTGCCCAGCACAGAAGTCGTGGCAGCCGGTCGCGCGACTATGAAGTTAACGAGGCTTTGCCTTGACGGTTGCGACTGAGGAGGCGGTCAATGACGCTGTCCTTCGGCAGTTGCGTTCCACATTGAGGTGCAGTGTTGTAGTTGTCACCCAGACGCCGCCTCGGTCAGGTAAGTGGTGCGGATCACCCGACTCCTAGACCGTCCTACTGATCAACGCGTCGATCTTCCTCTTTTTGCTAGCGTCATTTCCCTGTGGCCACAAAGTCTGCTGTCTTTATAAGTCGTCGCCATTTCGTCCAAGATCCACAAAGTCTGCTGTCTTTATAGTCGCCATTTCGTCCACGATATCTTCCGTCGTGGCTGTGACTTCATTTAAGTCCTTGGTTACGTCTCTGAACGTCTTCTTTCAGGCTCCTCGCGGTCGCTTGCCTTGTACTTCGAAGTCCATCGCTGTTCTTATCGGATGATCCTGTGGCCTCCTTAGCACATGCCCATACCATCGCAGACGCTGTTCCCGTACCTTCAGCTGGACAGGGGCAGTCTGCATGACCGCTCTGACATCCTCGTTTCTGACCCTGTCCAGTTGCTTCCAGCCGCAGGCCCATCCAAAATTTTCACTCCAGCGGAGCAATGCTGACTTTAAAGCCTCTTGCTTACGGTCAGCACTCGCTGCTGCATAGCATCGTAGGCCTTACCACTTTCCAGTACATTTTTCTGGGGCACCTCGATCGCAGAATTCAGTGGTCTTACTCCATTCCATCCCTGTGCTGCCTGGTCCACACTACCGTCGGCGGCCAGATTGCTCCCAAGGTATTATTAGTGTAGTCCTTTCCTTCGATCATTTCCCCATGTCCGTTCACGATCAACTCATACCTTCTTCAGAGCTCAAGATTTGGTCTTCTTGACCTTGAAATCATAGTCCACCTTCTGTTGGCATTTCCTATCACATTTGCAACTTGGCCTGAAACTCTTCTTCATTGACCGCCACGTGCTACAACCGCATAACGTCAGAACCACTTGACCATGAATGACCTGAAGCTTCGCGAAGGCTGGCCAATAACTTACAAAGACAAACTTTTATTAATGACGGTGGTCACCAAAAATGGTTGAACCTTGAAGCTGAGGGAGGACTCACCCCCTTCCTTCCCCCCCCCCTACCCATACTCAAAGCAAGTCCCAGCAGGGTTTTACCTTCGACACCAATAGTGTGGTACTTGTGCTAGCCCTTTTCAAGAACATAAGAAGTGTGACTGAACAAAGAACTTACCTTGGAAAGCCGCTAGAAAGGGAGCTGAACAGCTTTGAGTGGGCGTGGTTGTGAAGTTCCCCCGGCCATTTCCAAGCCACGGCCCACTTCAAAGAGTAGCTTTTGTTGCTAGGGTTTCCAGCGGTGAGTTTTTCGTTCAGTCATATTCCTTATGTTCTGGAAAAAGGCTGGCGCACGTTCCACTCCATTAGTGTCGAAGGTAAAAACTTGCTGGGACTGTTGCTTCAAGCTCGCCTACTGCTCAGATGTGGAGTTGTTCAAACTGATGGCGTCCAATCATCTATCAGCTCCACTCTGAAGGGAGTACCTCACCGAACAGCGTAATCTTCGTATAGCCTACTATATATAAGCGGCTAGCGTGTGTGTGTTGGTGTGTGTGTGTGTGTGTGTGTGTGTGTGTGTGTGTGTGTGTGTGTGTGTGTGTGTGTGTGTGTGTGTTTGACCGGAAATTCATAGCTCGAGTCACAGTAACGATAGCGCAGTGGTTCTTACATATGTTATAGGGGGTGGGATGGGGACACAAGTGGTACGTGATAGGAACTGATAACGACTGATAATAGCTGATAAGAGGGGCTAGAAAGCGAGCATCGCCAATTTCGTTTTGCCGTTCATATTGGTAAAAGAGCGTCTATACTTACAAGTGTTATGTGGGGCGGTCCCGGGACATTGGTGGTACATGATTGGAAGCGATAGCAACTGATAATGGCTGATAAGATGCGCTAGAACGCTGAAGTCGTCGATTCCGTTGCCTGGCTCGCGTTGACACCAGAGCAACCATACTTACAAGTGTTATGTGGGGTGGGACGGGGACATTGTTGGTGGGTGCCAGAAACTGATAACGATTGATAAGGGCCGATAAGGCGCGCAGAACGCTGAAGTCGTCGATTCCGTTACCTGGCTCGCGTTGACACCAGAGCAACCATACTTACAAGTGTTATGTGGGGTGGGACGGGGACATTGTTGGGTGAAAAACGATAACAACTGATAAGGGCTGATAAGGTGCGTCAAAAAGCAAAAGTCGCCAATTCCGTTACGCAGCGTTGACACTTGAGCGTTCCTACCTACAAATTGTATGCTTACTTAATAGAATTCATTCGACTGCATGAACCTAAACAAGTCTTCAGCAAATGATAAGCTTCATCTCTGATGCACTATCAAGAAAACCCAAACTCATTAAACCGCTAATCCATTCGGGGTCCTAAATAATGGTGAATGTAAATGAATGATAAGCATTAGCTCCTCACTTATGTAAATAGGCATATTTCGTTTTGATTTTGAGACTGACAGCAATCCTATTCACCGCTAAATTATCTTAATTCAAGAAAAATGCTGGATGTTTACAGAGTTGTGATCAATATACCAGTTCAGCTCAGACGTTATCACGCGTATTCTCGATGAGCTTCAGTGAAACTGTGGAGGGTCTAACACAGTCAATAGTGAGATGGTTAATGGAGTATCTCATGCTGATATTCCATGGGTCCTCCAGTTTCGCTAAAGCCTGCCGTGTGATGCGCGCGATAGCGGGCGAAGCAAAACTGGTAGTAGGATAATTCGCTAAGTATGTCTGTGTGTGTGTCTGTCACGAAATTCATAGCGCGCTTCGCTGCAACAGTGGAGCGCTGTATTTTGAGTATGTTGTAGGGGGTGGGACGGGAACATATTTGGTGGGGACCAAAGTGATAACGACTGATAAGATCCGATAAGAGGCGCCAAAACGCCAATTCCACGATATCCATAGCGCGCGTCCCAGCATCAGTGAGGCGTTGGTTCCAAGAAGTGATGTAGAGGGTAGGACGGGAACATCTTTGGTGGGGGACGCAAAGTGATAACGACTGATAAGACCCGATAAGAGGCGCCAGAACGCCAATTCCACGATATCCATAGCGCGCGTCCCAGCATCAGTGAGGCGTTGGTTCCAAGAAGTGATGTAGAGGGTAGGACGGGAACATCTTTGGTGTGGGACGCAAAGTGATAACGACTGATAAGACTCGATAAGAGGCGCCAGAACGCCATTTCACGATATCCATAGCGCGCGTCCCAGCATCAGTGAGGCGTTGGTTCCAAGAAGTGATGTAGAGGGTAGGACGGGAACATCTTTGGTGGGGGACGCAAAGTGATAACGACTGATAAGATCCGATAAGAGGCGCCAGAAACGCCAATTCCACGATATCCATAGCGCGCGTCCCAGCATCAGTGAGGCGTTGGTTCAAGAAGTGATGTAGAGGGTAGGACGGGAACATCTTTGGTGGGGACGCAAAGTGATAACGACTGATAAGATCCGATAAGAGGGCGCCAGAACGCCATTTCACGATATCCATAGCGCGCGTCCCAGCATCAGTGAGGCGTTGGTTCCAAGAAGTGATGTAGAGGGTAGGACGGGAACATCTTTGGTGGGGGACGCAAAGTGATAACGACTGATAAGACCCGATAAGAGGCGCCAGAACGCCAATTCACGATATCCATAGCGCGCGTCCCAGCATCAGTGAGGCGTTGGTTCCAAGAAGTGATGTAGAGGGTAGGACGGGAACATCTTTGGTGTGGGGACGCAAAGTGATAACGACTGATAAGATCCGATAAGAGGCGCCAGAACGCCAATTCCGCGAT